TTATATATTGACTATATAATAGATTATATAATATTTATAATAGTATGTATGTATAGAATAGTCTATATATATAATAGTATGTGTATATATAATATATACATGAAATATATTATGTGTTGACTATAGTCAACACATAATATATGATAGATTATATATATTATTATGGACTATGTATATTATAGACTATATATAGTCAAATGACTTTAAATCACTATTTATTTTTAAAGTTTTCTCTTGCCTTTCTGACTTCAATGTAAAGTTTGGTATTCTTAAGAGTACAGCTCAATTAACTAATTTTTATATGTGTGTATAATCCTATTACCACTACCTGTATTAAAATAAAGACTATTTCCACTCTAAAGAAGAAATGGTAATATATTTCTTTTTCTTATCCATTGCAAGGTTCATGGCTGAGGCATCGATTAAAAAGAAGAGATTAACAATAAAAAAGCACAAAAATGTATTTGTTACAAGGTTTATGTGACACTGAAATGAAGACCCAAACAGGTAAAACTGTGCATGTTTGCGTGTGTGTGTGTGTGTGTGTGTGTGTGTCTGTGCATGTATATGTATATATACAAACATATTTGTACACAAAAATATAAACAAATATGTGTTTATATGTATTTACACACACACACACACACACACACACACATATATATCCACACACACACATATTTTTTGTTGTTGTTTTCTTAGAAACAGTTTCACTCTTTCACCAAGGCTGGAGTGCAGTGACGTGCTCATAGCTCACTGCAGCCTCAAACTTCTGGACTCAAGTGATTCTCACACCTCACCGTCTCAAGAGTGAGATTACAGGTAAGGGTCCCAGCACCTGGCCCCAGAAAACTGTGTATTTTTATAATCAGTCATGCAGAAGTATGACTGGAGGACAAAGCGTGTGATCCAACGGTAATAAGCTATGAAAACCTAACAAGGCCTCTCTGTTAATATTCTTCTTGGCTTCTTTGGTGTCCTTCCTTTTCTTTTCTTTTTTTTTCTTTTTTTTTTTTTTTTTTTTTTTTTGAGACGGAGTTTCAATCTTGTTACCCAGGCTGGAGTGCAATGGCACGATCTCGGCTCACCGCAACCTCCGCCTCCTGGGTTCAGGCAATTCTCCTGCCTCAGCCTCCTGAGTAGCTGGGATTACAGGCACGTGCCACCATGCCCAGCTAATTTTTTTTTTTTTTTTTTTTTTTGTATTTTTAGTAGAGACGGGGTTTCACTATGTTGTCCAGGCTGGTCTCAATCTCTTGACCTCGTGATCCACCAGCCTCGGCCTCCCAAAGTGCTGGGATTACAGGCTTGAGCCACCGCGCCCGACCCTTCCTTTTCTTTAGGTATAGGTAGAACCCCTTGGGAATATAGATCTTATGATCTACTTTAGAAGAAGTTCAGATAGTTACTTTACAGCTTGATTTAGGGGAGAAAAGAAAGAAAGGTAAAGCAAATGGGACAATAACCTTCCTACTTTTGCTGTTTCCTTAGATGCCAAGATGACATATTTTGGAGTACTGTGACCTGAATTTTACTCCACCATAACAGAAGTCTCCCTCATGTCACCTCTCAGTCAACACCCTCTCAATGGTAACCACTATTCTGATCTCTAGCATAACAGAGTAGTTTGGCTTATTCTTGAAATTCAGATAAATGAAATCATTTATCTGAATTTTCACTTATAGTGTCTTGCTTCTTTTACTCAAGTTTATATCATTGAGATTCATTTATGCTGTGGCTTATAATAGTTTATTAATTTCTTTTTTAGACTGGGTTTGTTCTGTTAACCAGGGTGGACTGCAGTGGTGTGATCACAGCTCACTACAGCCTCAAACTCCTGGGCTCAAGCAATCTTTTTGCCTCAGCCTTCTGAGTACCTGGGACCACAGGTGTGTACCACCATGCCTGGCTAAATTTTTTATTTTTTTTACTTTTTATAGAGACAGGGTCTCACTGTTTTGACCAGGCTGGTCTCTAACATTTGGGCTGAAATGATTCTCTGCCTCAGCTTCCCAAAGTGTTGAGATTACAAATGTGAACGACTTCGCCTGGCCAATTTTTCTATTGCAATTTTAAATCCCATTGTATAAATACATAAAAATGTATTTATTCATTCTACTATTGATGAAAGTTTGAGTTGTTTTCAAACTTTTTGGCTGTTTACAAACTCTACATTAATATTGTTGTACATTATTTTAGTAGCTAGAAATAAAAATTTCCATTAGGTAATGTGGAATTTTTGTATGATGATATGTATTTATATTGATATTTAATACATGTTACTAATAGATTTCAAATGAGATTATAACACTTGACACTCCCATGGACAATGTATGAAAATTTGAGTGTCTACACAGTCTTTTTAAAACTTTATAGAACATATTTTTAAAAAAATATTAGTTTTGTGGTGAAAGAATAGTGGCATTTTACTATAATTTTAATTTGTATTTTTCCAATGGAAAAAATGGACTAATACAAAGGATATTTCTTTTTCTTTTACAGTATCAGCATCCAATTGACTTGACACCATGTATTAATAACTATCCTTTACTTAATTTCATGGATTCTTTCTTGTAACTAAGATGTCTATACATTTGCTGGTTTGATTCTCAACTCTATTCTTCTTCATTGGTCTTCTTTTTCTTTCTTTTGCCAGTAATACACTTATATTTATGAACGTTATATATCTTGATATGTAATATGGACTGAATTGTTTTCCTTCCCAATTTATAAGTTGAAGTCCTAAACCCAAATGTCACCCTATTTGGAGGTAGAGCTTTTAAGGAGGTATTTAAGACTAAGTGGGTCTTAAGCATGGAATCCTAATCTGATAGGACTAGTGTCCTTACAAGAAGAGGAAGAAACATCAGAGAGTGTGCTTTCTGTGTTTCTGTCTCTCTGTATATACTTATGCACAGAGGAAATAAAGTGTAAGAACACAGTCAGAAGGCAACTGTCTGTAAGCCAGGAAGAAATGCCTTATCAGAAACTAACCCTGCCAGCATCTGGATCCTAGACTTTGAGATAATAAATTTCTTTTGTGTAAACCACCCAATCTGTAGTGTTTAGTTATGGCATCCTAAGCAAACTAATACAATACTATAGTTTCTCCTTATCCGCAATTTTGATTTTCATGGTTTCAGTTACCTGTGGTTCAGTAAAATAAGATATTGAGACAGAGCGAGAGAGAGAGAGAGAGAGAGAGAGAACAAATTCACATACCTTTATTACAGAAATTTTTATAATTGTTCTGTTTTATTATTAATTATCATATTGTTATTAATGTCTTACTATGCTTAATTTATAAAATAAATGTTATCATAGGTATATATGTATAGGAGAAAATAGTACACCTAGGGCTTGGTGTTAGCCATAATTTCAGGCAACTATTTTGTGTCATAAAACATATTCCCTGCAGATAAAGAAGTCCTACTACACCCATTAGTGTAATTCCTTGCATTTTATTCTTTTTCACATAGATTTTAGAATCAGATTTTCAATTTATGCTCACAAAAACATAAAAACTTTGTTGAATTTAATTAAAATTACGTTGAATCTATAACTCAAAATAAGAATTTTTATGATAGAAAAATTGTCTCATGAATTAGCTATATTCCTTCATTGGCTTACATTCTTTTTAATCACTCTCAGCAGTGTTTTATTGTTTTCAATTTAAATATATTAGATGTATTTGTTTATATTTATTCCTAGACAGCTGATACTTTTAATGCTATCATATATGATAATTTTACTATTTTAATTTCAAATTGTTTATTGAAAATATACTTACATTGAACTTTTATATATGTACCTTATGTCATGGATCATGGCTAAATTTCCTTATTAATTCTACTATTTACTTTGTGGATTGTTTTGGGTTTTTGATACATAGAATCATGTCATCTAGATAAGTGAAACTTTTCATCTTATTGCACTGGAAAGGACTTGCAGTATATTGCTGAAAATAAGGAAATGACTATACAATATTTCATAATCATACAAAATATTACCAAAAACTTTTTAAAGGATATTTTTAAATAATTGATCTTTTATAATCACTTTTATGAGATATTTTTAAGTAACAAATAAATTTTGGATTTTTAAAATGCTTTTCCCACAGCTGTTGAGGTGATCATATTACTTTTATCATTTATTCTGTTAATATAGTAAACTATATTAATTTATTTTCTAATATTAAATCAACCACATTATGGTAGTTATAATCAAATCTGTTTTATATAACCTAGATTTAATTTATCAATATGTGCCTTTGGTTTTTTGTATCTATATTGATGAGAGATATTTGTCTGTAATTTTTTTATGTCTTCATCAGACATTTATCTCAAAGTTATTCTGACCTCATAAAATCAGGTGAGCAATGTTCCGTATTTTTCTACATTCTGGAAGAGTTGGATAAATTTTGTTATTTTTTTTTTTTTTTTTTTTTTTTTTGAGACGGAGTTTCGCTCTTGTTACCCAGGCTGGAGTGCAATGGCGCGATCTCGGCTCACCGCAACCTCCGCCTCCTGGGTTCAGGCAATTCTCCTGCCTCAGCCTCCTGAGTAGCTAGGATTACAGGCACGTGCCACCATGCCCAGCTAACTTTTTGTATTTTTAGTAGAGACGGGGTTTCACCATGTTGACCAGGATGGTCTCGATCTCTCAACCTCGTGATCCACCCGCCTCGGCCTCCCAAAGTGCTGGGATTACAGGCTTGAGCCACCGCGCCCGGCCTTGTTATTTTTTTAATTAAATATTTGGAAGATTACACCAGTAAGTCATTTGTGTGTGGATTTTTCTTTGTAGAATAAATTTATTTGTAAAAATTTAATTATTTAATACGCACAAGACTTTTCAGGGTTCTCTATTTCTCCATGTTCTTTTAAGGTAAATTTTCAAGAAGTTTATGAATTTGTGAATTTATTTAAAATTGTCAATTTTATTAACAGGAAACTTCATATTTATTTTTTGAAATGTATAGAAATTTTTTTTTTCAAGAGGTCCCAGCCCCACTTCATTGTCGAATTTAAAACTCAAGAGTCAATTCTTGGGGTTCCCAGGCAACCCTTCCTCGAGCCCACTCACTAGGGGCCAACCCTAGATCTTGAAAGCCAAGGTGAGTCCATCGCCCAGGGGCAGGAGACTGATGTAGACCCTGACGTCCCGCCGGATGCGTTCCTTTAGGTTCCGCACACATTTGGCCGCCAAGTCCCCCTGCGGAGGTGTGGCACCTTTCCGTTCCACAGGACTCCGAGGATGGCAAGGATGTCTCCTAGCTCCAGCAGCTGCAGGCAGCGCTCGTAGTGGGCGGCGCAGTTCTCCTTGTCCGCGTCTGCCACCGCCACGTCGAAAGTGCCAGCTTTGTCCGCTGCCCGCAGCTCGTCCAGGGTCTCCAGGGCGGACTTCAGCCGGAGGTCGATCTTGAGCTCCGCCTCAGCCTACCTCCACAGGGGCCGCCCCAGCTCCACGGGCTGCGTGTCCACCTCGCAGGTCACCATGCGCCCATCCGCGGGCAGCGCGGGGCGGAGTAGCCCGTGAAGGTGCCCAGATCCAGCGCCTTCTTAGCCTGTATGAGCCGCGCCTGGTTGGCTAGGAGCTGGGCCTGCTCGCAGGTCATCATAGAATCCCCCTGCGACTGCTCCACGGTCAGCGCCGGGTGCTCCTGTATGGGAGATACTGCCACAGGCGGCCGTTCTCGCCGGGAAGCAGGCGCAGCTCTCGCAGGCCTCGCCATTAAGGCCATGGCCTCCCTAGGAAGAGGCTAGTGGCAAAGGCAGTGCCCAGCGTGGCTGAGCCCAGGGCCAGTGCAGCGAGCACGGAGAGCCGGGGCACCCGTGGGGTCATGGCGCGGGCAGGAGGCTGCGGGAGGCGGTGGCAGGCCCAATGTCTAGAAAATTTTTAATGATGTCCTTTTAAAATTTGATACTGCTATTTTATTTTTTTCTCTTGTTTTGATGAGTGTTGTAAGAGGTTTAATCCTTTTTAATCTTTCAAAAATAAATATTCGGTTTTGCTATTTTTTTCTAGTGTATATTAACTTTCTATTTTATTTATTTTGCTTCTAATTTTATTTTTTTCTACTTCATTGCATTTTAATGTGCTGTTAATTGTTTATGATCTTAGAAACGAAGCTTAGATCATTTATTTAATATATTTTTCTTTATTTTATTTCATATTTAGAGGTGGTGTCTCACTATATTGCACATTTTGGCTTGAAGTCGTGAGCTTAAGCAATCCTCTTGCCTCAGCCTTCTAACCAGCTGGAATTACAGGCATATACCACCATGTCTGGTTTTAATTTTTATATTGTAACTTAAGGCTATACATTTGTCTCCAATTCTTTTATAGCTGTGTTCCACATGTTTTTTATATGCCTTATTTTAATTTTCATGCACTTAAACTTATATTTTAGTTCATGTTGTGATTGGTTTTTTGATCCATATGTTATTTAAATGTGTTGTTTAATTTTCAAAAAGTGATTATTCTTAAAAGTTTTCTTTATATTATTGATTTCTAGATTTTTTCACTGTGGTCGGAGACAATAATTTCTATGACTTTAATTCTTTGACACATATTAAGAGTTACCTTAAATGCCAAGTAAGATATATCTTGGAAAATGTTCCATGTGTACTTCAAGCAAATATCTACCTGGCATATGTTTGGCGTAGAGTTCTTTATATGGAATTAAGTTCAAATCTTCCGTATTGTTTACAATTTTTTGTTCTGCTTCTTTCGATCAGTTACTGCGTGTGAAAGCCTCCTACTGTGACTGTAAATTCGCCTCTTTCTATTTTCAGTTGTGTCAAGTTTTGCTTTACATATTTTGAGCTTAAATTATGAGGTACATAAACATTTAGAATTGTTTTAGCATCCTTTTCAATATATCCTTTCATCATTAAGACATCTGTGTCTTAATTTCTCTAACATTTTTTTGACCTAAAGTTTACTTCGTCTATATTAATTTAGCTATAGCAACTTTTGTTTGCTTAGTGATGTTATAACATATCATTTTCATTCTTTTACTTTAAACTTTGCTGTTTCATAAACACAACCAGAAGTTCACAATTTTTTTTATTACATTAAACCTGAGAATCTCTGTTTTTGAACAATTAGTAGGTATCTGTTTAATTAATTGTCAATTACATGTCACTGTCATAGCGTCCTTTTTTTCTTGCCTGAAGTGTTCTATTTATGATTCATTATAAACATGTTAACTTTATGATCTCTTTTATACTATTTTATTACTTCTTATAACTAGAAAATAAATTCTCATGTTTGTTTCTTTTGCTGGATTTCTTTTCTTATTATTTATATCCTCAAATGACACAACATTTTTACTGAGGTCTTCTTCAGTGAAAGTAATCTCTCTTTATTCCCCGATAAAAACCCGTATATAATAGTTTTTCTAGAGAAGATTTTTCCCATTATATTTCCAGTGGTTTTACCTGCATGGGACAGATTTTCTCTTCATTTTTAATGTCTAAACTTGAGATTATTGCACTAAATGAGTAGCATTAATTTAGAACTTGCACCTAGGACAGCCTTACACTTTCAATTTCTCATAAGATGTATTTTTTCTTTCTGAGAACCCAAGAATTGCTTATGAATAGGAATTTTCCAATCTTTATTCAGTGATTGAATAAAAATCAAAAGTCCTGGTTAATTCAGATGCCCAGGACCAACATTCTGCACTGGGCAGGACTGAAGCCATGCATTTGCTTTGTTTCTAAATACAGCCAGTGCTCGACTTACGACCACGATTGGTTCTGACAGACCGGTTGTAACACAATTTGGTCGTAAGTTGAGTAGGCTGTATGTACAGTACTGTGAAATGATGTTAGAAAAATCTTTAAGTCGTATTTTATCATAATTTTCTTTCATTGTTGTTATATATCATAATTTTCTTTGTTCATTTTGTGCCATTTGTATCGTCTCTACACCATTTTGTTTCTTATTTTTACATTCGTCAGGTTTAAGTAAAACACTGCATTACCAGTACAACTGTTTTAATATTTGCAAAACATACAAAATTACAAAATAAAGGTGCATACAAAAATACAAAATACAGGTGTAAAAAATACCATAGGAAACATTTTCCCAATTGCAAAATGTATCAAAATATATAAACATGTACGAAACATTTTATTGGCAATTCCTCTTGGTAGACATCTTGGGAGGGGTTTGATGAAAAATATCCAAGACACAAAACACAAATTGCTGTACCAAGTCTGGGATAACAGTTGAAATGGTGCATGCAGAGATGGGAGTACTGTTGGAAGCTGGTCCGCACTGTCGTACGCCCAGCTGGGAAACGTTTGCGCTGCCAGACGCGGAGCAGTTGTGGCTAGCGATTGTGGTCGTAAAGTCGAATGATCGTAAGTTGCATAGGTCGTAAGTCAATCAATACCTGTATTGAAAACCAGGCCCTTTGCCATTGGTCTAAGATCCATCAGGACAACTATAGTATTTGCCTTAATTTACTTTTCTGGCTTTGTTTCTAGCAGCTGGGTGTTTCTTTATCTTTCAATCTCAGCTACAAATATGTACAAGTGATATTTACAAGTACAGAAGATTTTGTAGAACGGCTCCAACAATTAGGAAACAGAAAGCCTAATAAAAGTAAGATTTTCCAAGAGCACCGTGACTTATTACTAACTGGAAAAGCATATGCTTTGGATGTTTGCTAAAAGTGCATCTGCAAATGGTGAAAACACAGCTCAAAATTAAATATTGTTAATTACTACATTAATTTAAAACTGCATGGGAAAACAGAGTAATTAAGGTTAATTGCAAATCCTTACAACGAGAATGTAGAAATTACAGCAGGGGAGCTATAGGGATATATTTTTTTTTCTAATAGGCTACATTATTATTATCATGTATTAAACAAGACACTGCATGTCTTTGTTCTCAAATTTTAGGTACTTCTTTCAATTTGAATCATCTGTTTAAGATCACTGTTCTTCAGCTAATCTATTTTTAAGGAAATAATATCATTTTATACTTCTGCAGTGCCCAAACACTTCCTATATCCTGTCAAGCAGACAACACTTTTAGGAAGCTGGCAACCTGAACAGAAACACACAGTTTACTAGATTTTGTTTGTTTCACCTTTTTTTATTTGTAAGTTACTACACTGGCTGAAGAAAAATTAAAAAACACTTTTATTTGTATTTGAATTCTCTATTAATACGTTCACAAATTCTTTAATCAATTTTGAGATTATGCCTAAAAGATGTTTTAAGGACATTTGCTGTAATCATACTTTGTTAAAAAACACAAATTAAACATAGTTGGAACTCAAATAAGTGAAAGTTGTCCCAAATCTGCCTTTGTTACTTTTATATGGTGTACAACTAAACACTCTTCCACTATTTTTTGATCTCCAGCTATCTAAACAACAACATGGCATTTTATTCAGGATTAAATAAAAATTGCATAGGATACATGAAATTAACACAAATGGCTGAAAAGTTAAAATACATTCTAATGAATGTTTAGAGTTTATTTCATAGTATCAATGGGACAGGTAGAAAAAGTACGAATTTAAATTGTGATCAATTCTTTGAATCAATAAAATGATCTCTATGTGCAATTAATTTTCCTTGTCTCCCTTCCTATTATACTTTTAATTTTTATCTACTTAATTACCTGTAGCTTTTTTCATGTATCTTCCACATACACTTTATAGTATGTGTTGAAAAATGTGCGCTTTGAATGAAGAGACCTTCCAAACAGGCTTCGTGTGAGCAACATAGCTGTTTATTCACCTGGGTGCAGGTGGGTTAAGGCCGAAAAGGGCATTAGCAAAGGGCAGCAAGATAGGAGTTGTTTTTATAGGTTCCGGAAGTTTTTTTGAGGGGTGAGGATGTTGCAGAGTAAGTTCAGTTATAGTGGTGGGGGTAGGGGCAAAGAGTATACATGACTACAAGTTCAGTTACAATGGCAGGATTGGTTGAGAGGTATTTAAGTTATCATAAGAATAGTTAAGATGGCAGGATTGGGTGAGGGGCTTGTCTGGGGAAGCTCTGCTAGGTGATCAGGGACAGTGGCCAATGCAGTCAGCGGTGGGAGACATAAGCTGTGGCAAGCAGGACTTCAGACTTTCAGGCTCCAGGCTTGCATATGGAGACTTGACATAATGTTCCTGAATGGTAAAGTTTCTCTCTATCTAATTCTTGGATTTTGTTATGCACAGGCTATGTATATGCACACATGTGTGCGCGCACACACACACACACACGCACACACATCTGAAAAATTGGAAGTTGAAGAAATTAAAAAGATACAGTTTTGGTGACCTTCTATGGAGTAGCTTCTCCACTTTAAATATCTATAAAGTTTAACAGAGAAAAAAAAATAAATATACATTAGTGATGATAGTGCATATATGTAATTTGAAAGCCCTGAAAAAAATGTATAGCTTATGTACACACCAGTTATATTAACTTACTTAGTTTATTTAAAAATGTCTTTTACTTTATTTTGAAGGAAGTCAATTAAGAAAAAGAATACAAATAATAAATTAATAATAAGTAAACCTGGTTCCTAGTCCTTACTCTGTTATTGTATTAGTCTGTTTTTATGCTGCTGATAAAGAAATACCTGAGACTGAGCAATTTACAAAAGAAAAAGATTTAATTAAAGTTTCACAAGGCTGAGGAGGCCTCACAATTATGGCAGAAGGTATAAAGAAAAGAGTTTCTCGGGCTGGGCGCGGTGGCTCAAGCCTGTAATGCCAGCACTTTGGGAGGCCGAGGCGGGTGGATCACGAGGTCAAGAGATCGAGACCATCCTGGTCAACATAGTGAAAACCCATCTCTACTAAAAATACAAAAAATTAG